CCCCCCCCTCCCTCGGGCGAGAATACCGTCTTCTTCTCTCTGTTCGCGTGGTCGTTGTATCTCACCGCCTGTTCTGCCGTTTCGTTGTCGCTCTTGCTGCCGTTTCGTTGTCTTGCTTGCGGAAACCCAACTTGTTTTTCTCTCGGGGTGTGCATAGTGATGCAAATGCGGTGCAAGATCTGCAAGACCTGTCGCGGCAGATCCGGTGAGTCTCGAGAGAGATATGTGTAACTGTCTGAGATTGTTCTGCCCTGGTAGAAGATGACATGTTGCGGTTTCGGTGCTTCGTCGGATGGAGTTTGAGTTTGAATTAGTTTTTTACACCAATCAGCAGGTTTCGAAGAACTGTGTCGGACATGAATTGATAAATGTTAATGTTTGGCTTCGAGTTTAAACAAGTCCCTTGAATTTGGCTGGCACGCACCGGCACTTCCGAGGTGGCGAACAACTTGTTGTGGACCCTTTGCCGTACGAATCCCGCCCATCGTGAAGGATCTGTGATTTAGTTTTCAATCGAACGACGTTGGCAGACGCCCGTCATGAAATGGAAACACGACTATTTCTAGCGAAAAAATGAAGCGTGATGTCGTTTGTTGACAATGATCATGACAATTTGGGGAATTGTTTAAATTGAGCTTGGTGGGTCTCGGGTCCGTTGATGCCTCATGACGTCGTTGTTAACCCCTTTGGGTCTAGCTCTGTTTTTTTTCAGCAAAAAAAACAAAGGGAGGAGGGAGTTTGGGAGAGAGCGACACAAGCACAGCAGAAAGGGACGTGTGTACTTCTGTAGACGGAACAGCTATCTCCCGCCCATAGGCCATGAGGGCTGCCCGCGACAGGACGGTGGACACAGACAGGGTCATAGAAGGGTTGATGTGTGGTCGCGGTGCAGCGGGTAGGTCAGGTTAGGTGTAGACCTCAAAAAGATTAATCGTCAAGCCGCCTAAAGTACTCTATTTTCAGTATGTTCAAATGATCAGTGAGAGGGCGTGTAGACCCATAGCCGGTTCTTGTACTTCTGTACTTCTCTGTCCCCTCCCCAATGTGAGCCCTGCCGGCTCACTACAGCTCCTGTGATTTTCCCACAATTCCCACAAGCACGCAGGCACACCACAGCACACACCTACCTGTGCATCAGTGGCTCTTTAGGTTCGGGCGAGGGTATGTGTTGGGCTATGATGATAGTGTATGTGTTACTACTGTATGTTGGACTCGTCTATACTGCTGCTGCTGTATAGTTTAGCAGCTGGCACGATGACTGCTGGATCTTGGGAGTGTACGATTTTCAAATTTGGAGGATATGCAGCATACCACGACCATATCCTGGCCTGGTTGGGCTTGAAGTGCCCCTTTTCGCTGTCATTCTGTCTTTCCTTGAGTGGCTTCCTAGATTCGGGCGAGGGCATGTATGTGGAGCTATTGATGTTGTTTTTGTTTTTGTTTTTCTCCCATCATTGGACTCTGTCGTCTGCCCCTCTGGCCCCTATCCTCCACTTCTACTAGCTAGACGACCCAACCGGGGTCACATAGGAGGGGGGGGTTGGACCCCCTCCTGCGGTTCATGCCTGAGGTATTTTTATCGCGAGAAGGGTACAGCAATCCCTTCCCTCGCGACTTACGAAGTCGATTATGGTTTACTAACAAACGAGCTTTGCACCTCATCGCTTTCATCCTAAACCAGGATTTATTTAGTGAGAAAAAAACTCTGTCGGGACTCGAACCCATGACCTGGCCCTTAGCAGGCTGCGAGGCTACCCACTCGACCACCGGGGTGTACCTCTGAAGNTCGCGACTTACGAAGTCGATTATGGTTTACTAACAAACGAGCTTTGCACCTCATCGCTTTCATCCTAAACCAGGATTTATTTAGTGAGAAAAAAACTCTGTCGGGACTCGAACCCATGACCTGGCCCTTAGCAGGCTGCGAGGCTACCCACTCGACCACCGGGGTGTACCTCTGAAGGGATATGGCGAGAGATTCATGGTGGCATTTGCATTTAGAGCAGTATGCATTTTTCGAATTTTGGCCGTTCTAGGGACCTGATATTACCGGCTGGCACTGCTGTGACCGTCTTTGCATTGCTCACCGGGTAGCGCGGTCGACGGAATAAAAAAGACACATCTACCTATTGACTTGCCAACACCTGGCGTGGAGGGATACGGGTCGGCAACTCCATGGCATGCCACAACATCGTTTGCAAGTGATCGATCAATCAATGATCTGTCAGGACGCCTGTAGACCCAAAAGGTTTAATTGTTGATATTGATGTTGTCAATTTCAAATTCTTCCTTGCAGATACATAACTCCGTCCGTCTGGGGCCTGTTGAGAAACTGGGCGCACGTCTTGTCCTAGCATGACTAGATGATACTCCGTGGGTCCCTTGATGCCTGAGTGGAAGATGTCGTTTGTTAATACTTTTGTTGTTTTGACGTTTGATCCTATCATGATGAAACTCCATGGGTCCCTTGATGCCCGCGTGGAAGATGCTGTTTGTTAATACTTGATGTTTTTTTGTTCCCTCGTGCTTGTCATGTCCCTTGTTCTCGATTATTGCTATCAACTCTGGCTGCAGGTTGCACGACGGGAAGCTGCCTCGACTGCTGCTTCAAGTCCGCCCTGCCCTGCGCGGCCCACGCCAAGCAGCTGCAGCGCAAGCGCCTGGAGGAAGAGCTTCTTTCGGCCAAACCCAGCCAGAGCCAGATCAGGGAAAAGCAGCGCAACATCAAGGACACCTTCAAGGAGGAGTCCTTCCACGGTAAGACGGGGGGCAGGAGGGGGCGCACTCATGTTTTGCATGCCCTTATCTGGTTGACCTTTGGCCAGCACGCACCGCAGGAGGAAGGCGGTGCATGAAAAGGAATAAAAAAGAAGAAAAAAGCCCTGGTGTTTACCCCCTCCTGTGTGACCCTGGATGGTTGTAGGTGTACGAAAAAAAACACTGAAAAGTGTAGTACTCTACATTCGCTGAAAAAGTGTAGTACACGTCTCACCACGAAAAATTGGGGGACTGTCGCCATAGTAAGTAGGACGAAAACACACACACGCACACACACACACACACGTCCTCGAGAGTTACCATACCGGGAGAGAGGGGGAGGGGTGCTGGGTTCATGTTTTGCGTGCCTCAGCTGTTGCATTGACCGTTGACAACGCGTCCTCGACAGGACGGAGCATTGTTCCCACAGGACCGATCACTGATGGGTAGCATCATTCGGTGCGGGGGGGTAGTACTCGTGAAAACGAAGGCCGCAAGCGAAGAGGAGGGGGGCGAAGTCTTTGTTGTTGCCTTGGCTGTTGGCACCTTCCTTGACCACGACTTGTTTGGAGGCGTAGCACCGTTTGCTCCTGCCCCTGGTAATAGCGACGCCGCTACCATTCCCCCCGCTCGGGCACTCCGCACATCGAGGGGACCGCGGGGGGGGGGGGGG